ATAAGAGTCAGAGTTGTTTAGGTATAAGGACTACTTCTGCTGATAATGACACCTGGATATAGAGGTGGGAAGTGGGGGTGGGTAGTAAGATCCATGGACAGATCCTGAGCCTGGATTCTGTGCCAGCTTCCCTTGAGCCCTACTTTCTTTGTGACATTTTGGCAGATCTATTCTTCATCTCACAGGAGATGGACTTCAAGGTGTCTGAAGTCTCATGCTGTTTCTGAGGCCTTGTGTTTGAGTTATCAATTTATCTTACTTTCTACATCTTTCTAAGATGTCCATTTTTCTCTCCTCCCATAATTCTTCTGTTTGGGGTCCCTGAACCTGTTGTCTCTCTTAGCAAGTCTTCTCAATGGACCAATTACTGGAAGCAGGGAGCTTCTAAATCCTGTAAACTTAGACAGTGAAATCCTTATTACACCTAATAAGAGTTAACTGGTCCATTTCACACAAATTGTCTTTCTGTGTGGAACTGAAATATAAAGCACTAAAAACGAGAGGTGTGGGCTGGAGGACAGTTGTTCACAGGCAATGCTGGTGCACATAGGGAATGTGTATTGGCCAATGTCATCCTCTAAAAGCCAGAGTAGCTTCAACCTTTCACACCATCTTTCCCTAAATATTTCAGCCTTTGACAGTAGCTGGTCCCTTGTAATGTTTCTGTTTCATTGTCACTGTGATCAAATACCTGATAGAAACAACTTAAGGGGAAAGGCTTGCTTTTGCTAGTGATTTCAAATGCTTCAATCAATGATGTTAGGTAAGGCAGATATCTCCCAAGAACCACAGCTCACACCGTGGTAGATAAGGAACATGGTAGATCCTTAACAGGAATGGGCCAGGATTATGCCACAAGCACACAAGCCCCAGTGACCTATTTCGTTGAACCAGGCTCTCCACCTTCTGAAGTTCTACTCCCTGCCAAACCAAGGTTAGAATTCATGATCTATTATATCTGGAAAGATTTACTTCCCTGATGTCCTAGGCATGTCACATTCAAATCAAGTTGACATAGGACCTAGCCTTTTGTCTCTTCTAACAGCCATGCTGTTTCCTCACTTAGGCTCTGATACACAACCTTCATCCATGGTCCATGACTTCTTCAGAAGGCTGAGTGAAGATAGCCACTTACTAACTGCTGGTGTTGCCTAGGATGCCTAACTTCACCTGAACTCCCTCCTGACAGCTCTATGTCTTAATGAACCAGAAAGATGGGCATCCATAGAGTGTCTTCTTTGCTTTGTACACATATAAATGGTAGATATCATTTCAACTGCCGGGACCCTAATCCTTGGCAAGATGTCAAGCACAGTTGGCAAATAGGAGATGAGGACACAGCAGTTTGCATACCTAGAGTTTCTATTCCCACTCCTTTTGCAGGGCTGGGTACTCTTTACAGAGTCCAGGTCTATCTGGACTTAAGGTTCCTTGGCCACCAGGATGTTTGTTCTTCCTGGGATCATCATGTTTTCCTCACAGTGGAGACGGGAGTCTCTCCTTGCTCCTGCCCCATTGTATAAACAAAAGCTGGTACCTAAAAGAAAAATGAAAAGATGAGCAAATGGACTGTTATAGCAACTGGAAACTCAAGGCCTAACATCTGGAAGGATCTGTGCAGCTATCAGATATATAAGACACAATGAGAGACAGCTGCTTCTGCCTAGAGGAGTCTGGAGAAAGGCTGTGTCTCCCACTCTGGGCTGCTGCTAGCATAGCTCAGCAGGTAAGGAGAAAAGCCAAGGTGGCCTCTGAGGCTCTCTCACCCAGAGGGACTCCGGAAGAGGTTTCTGTTAGAGCAGCGCTTCTCAGCCTGGGGGTTACTGCCCCTTGGGGGTCAAACGATGCTTTCACAAGGGTCACACCTCAGATAACCTGCAGCTCAGATATTTACATTATTATTCATTACAGTAGTAAAATTAGTTACGAAGTAGCAACAAAAATAATTTTATGGTTGGCAATCACCACAACATGAGGAACTGTATTAAAGGGTCGCAGCATTAGGAAGGCTGAGAACCATGTGCTAGGGCCTTTCTTTCCTATCTCTATAGTAAACATTAGAGAGAGAATCTTACACTTTCTCTGCTTCAGGGTTTGTCTACATTTCCAACTGTCAACTATTTTGTTACCAGCTTCTTCTTTACTCTCAGGAAGTCCTATACTAAAGAGACAGAGACAGCCCTTGCCTTCAAGGAGCTCAAAGTTTAAGGAGGAGGCAGTTGCACTGTGCTAAGGAAATTGTATGTCTAGTCTGTTGGGACACAGGGTTTCTCTTCACAGTGCCTGGATTCTGGAAGACTGAGCTTCAGGATGCCTGCTTTGATGACAGGTATGTGGTGAGAGGCCAAGAGACTCAGATAAGCCCCTGAGACAGAACTGTGAAACTTGGTTAGAGATAGAAATGGAGCCTCAGTGGGGTTGGCCTGGACAGAGGAGGTGAAGCAAGATCGGGAATACTCACAGGTATGTTAGCAGAGAGAGGAGGGCGCACATCCTGGGGATGTGCAAGCCACTGGGACTGGTGCCTGGAAAGCAAGAGTGTTCGGCTCCATAATGCTCACTCGAGTCACATGGGGTATGTTTGAAACTAGTGATGCTTGGGTGACACACCAGAACAACCCATCTGTTCAGGACAAGGCCTCAGTGCTGTTCTAGGAAAGCCTGGTGTTGGGGACTGATAGGCAAAGGGGCTTCAGGATCTGGGGTGCTGAGTAGCTTGTAGGGGGAGTCCAACAGTGAGAGGAAGGAGCTTCTTTCATGCTAATTGGTGGAGATTTGTATTTAAAAGGAGAGAGCAAGGCAAGCTGAGACCTAGGGAAGAGAGCTCTTAAGCTGCTGGGGACATCTTCAGAGCATTTTCTTTCATCACTGCTTCCTGGCCCTCCATACCATGCACTCATTCAGAGTAAAAGGCGAAAGGCTGCTTCATTTCCGGAATTCGCTGACCTGAGGAACTTGGTCTGTGCCTGTCCACTTGCTATGTTCTGTCCTCAGATGTCTGCAGAGACGAATCCCTAGTGTCACCCCAGGAGGACAGATTTCCTTCCTTGACCTATAAGAAAACCACTCCTTTCTCCCTTCTCTATTTTGTTTTGTTACCCATAACATTAAACATAACCTAGTACATTATAATTTTTATGGACCCCTTCTCCCAGAATGAAACACTAAAGGGAGAACTTGTGTGTATCCATGTGCTTTTTCTGTGGCAGGGTGTCATTATTTAGGCTGGGTTCTCCTTGAACTTACAGTTCTCTTCTTTGTTTTGTTTAAAGACAGGTTTTCATTTAAGCTCTGACTATCCTGGAACGTCCTGTGTAGCCCAGGCTGGCCTCCACTCACAGAGATAGATCCACCTCTGCTTCTCAAGTACTGGGATTAATGGTGTGATCCACAACGTCCAGTCCAGCCAATTCTCCACCTCTGTCTCCTGAGATAGGATTACAGACATGTACCGCTATACCCAGATTTTATTTATTTATTTACTTACTTACTTATGTAGTTGTATTCTAAAAGCCTAGTTTTGTGGCTGGATCATATTAAGCACAAAAGAAATATCTGTTGAATAACCAGTTAATGAACGAATAAATAAAACACTCTAGCATATCCAAGTGATGGCATGTATTTATATGGGTGTGTGTCTCTGTGGGATGGTATTCTTAACCTGTGGTCTAGCTATCCCTGTTTTTAAATTGTGGTTTTGCCTATGCATGCAAGTACTTTTTTAACATAACAAAATTCTGTAAGTCCTTGAATAATATGCTTTTGAATGTGAGCTTTTTAGTTTCTGGTTTTGTTTTGTTTACTGTGTTCTGTGTCTTCTAGTTGTGTGTGGTTGTGTCTGGATCACTCGGCCTAATTGTCAAGGTTTTTGGAGGAACTGTGTCCATCTCCTATCAGCAGAGGGCACTAGAGCTATGCGACTTAGTTCCGGGCCTCAAGATCTAGCTATCTTAGTCAGGAGCTTTAAGGGACTCAGGAGATCTAGAATCTGAGAAGGAAGAGGCGGAGACGTCTCTCTAGTTCAGCCTAATTGGAAAGTTGTGCAATTCCTGTGACTTTTCTATTATTTTCCCCATATTCACTCTCTGGGGTCCGGGCTTCAGTCAGTCTCGGCAGCCCAGGGAGCAAGATTTACTTAGGGATTGGGGGCGGAGATGACTACTACACGGGGTTCTTGACTGGACCACCCACCCAAATGCCCTTCCACTTCGGTTCTCCATCTCTCCACCCCAGTGCACCTCAAGCCCCTGAGTGCTTAGGGATCGTTCCCTGGCTGCCTTCTGTGGCAAGTCTTGGAGGACGCACAAGAGAAAGCTAGAGTTGGTTGGCTTTCCCTCCGGATGGATAGATGTCTGGGATGAACAAAGGAAGAGTTAACTGCGCCTCTTCATGGCTGCTACGACTCCAGCGCTGAGGCGGGCCTCAACGTGGCTGGCTGAAGCCCTCAGAAGGGGCTCAGAGGCAGATTCAAGATTTCTCCAGCCTGAGATTTGTGGGTTGGAAGAGCTTCTCCCCTTTCCAACATTCTCTAGTTAATTGAGAATTCTTAATTTAGACATCTAGGGTTAGATTCTGGGGTGTGTGGTTAGAACGAAAAACATCTTAAAGCTTTTAGACACCCCCCCCACACACACACACACAAGACACAAGCACACCCCTCCCAACACAGTCACCCAATTGATGGAGGTTCGTCCTCAGCCCAGGCTGCTACCCTATGACCGGCTCAGTTATGCCACTGGGGGCAAAAGTAGGTCTCGGCCCCGGAGGGGCACGGATGGACCGGAGCCCAGCGGTCTTTGCTTCAGAGCCTGCGACGCCGCGTTCTCCCCACCCCTTGCCTCTGCCCTCAATTCCTTTCTCTTTGCTCTCCTCCCATCTCGGTTCCAGCGAGCGGAGCGAGTGTGTGCGCGCGCGTTGGGGGACCAGGGGCGGGCAGTGGAGGGAGGCGCGGTGGGAGGGAGAGCAGACGTCAGGAAGAGGGAGGGAGCCGGGGAGGGAAGAGAGGGAGAGAGAGAGAGAGCGGCGCGGAGGTTGAGAGAGGCCCCGAGAGATAAAGCTGGAGGGCAGAAATTATTAGGGGGCGCGGGACGAGAGGAGGGGCCAGGGGAGCGAGCCCGCGGCGAGAGAGGCAAGCGAGTGTGCGCCGAGTGTGCAAGGGCGGGAGGGAGGAGAGAGAGCCAGCGGCGGCCGGGATCGCGCCGACTCGGGCCCAGCGGCGGGGGGGCAGCCTGCTGAGCCTCCTCATCTGGATCCTCACTCTCTCCGACACTTTCTCACAAGGTAAGTCCCAGCCGCGGGCCGGGGAGTCCTGGGAAGGGTCGCGGAGTCACCCGGAGAACACCCGAGGAGTTCTTGATGAAACGGCCCAACTTGCTTCCTCCTGCTGCGCGGGAGAACAGAGAACTTAGGTCGCGAAAGCCGAGATCCGAGTAGAAATGGGACCCGAGTGCTCAAAGTCTTTTCTCCCAGTCCCTGGCAGTTCTCCCTCCCTCCACCTCCTGGGCCCAGGGCCGGACTCCTGGGTCCTGGCCAAGAGAAAAGCTGGGAAGAGGTGGGATTTCAGATCTGGGGGGTGGAGTGTGTGGAAAGCACGGACGCAGGCTCCCAAAGATGAGGCTGAGGGATCCTGCTACCCCAATCCAGCCTAGAGTCACCTTCATCTGAAGTCCGGCTGCAAACTGCTTGGGGTTGCTCCTCAAAGGAAGGCTGCTTCGAGACCCCCGCCCGCTCCCGCCCCGGAGGCTATGGGTGAGAGGTAGAAGTCCAGATATCAGGGCTGTTTGAATTCATCGGGAGGAGGGGAGTTGATTCGGCCAAGCACTCACTACAGGTCAGGAAAGTGCAGATATCTGGGGCTCCTTTGGAACTGGCAGGGCAGAGGTTGGAAGTAAACCAGGGGAGAGAGAGGAGTGTGTTCAGGTATAGTGGTCTGGGTGCCCGTGAAGGAAGCTTGCTTGGGTCTAAACCCCAGCCAGGCCTGGGGTCTGTGAGAAAGGGGTCTTTTGAGACTGACTCCAAGGAAGATTTAATACTATTGGGCCCCTCCCCTGAACTGGAACACAGAAATTGACACACCAATAGCTTCAAACAGAGACATTGAGACAGACTGCTCACCTATGGAGACATCCCCACAAACATCCCCCCACACAGAGACAGACACACAAAGACGTTGATTGACACCTCTGAAGAAGGAAGATTCCTCTTCCAAGCCGACACACACTTACCTAGTCCTACACCAGGCATCACACTTACACTGTATATGCATGTGTGCTACGTTGAAAGGACATAACACCCACCACACAGGATTGTTTCCACATACCCCAGCCATGGAGCAAACAAAGAAACTTGGGCAGACATTCTTATAGGCAGGCGCCTACAGAGATGTACAGTCTTCAAAATGGAGGAGGTGGTCTCTCATTGGGGTGGGTGAGTGATCTGGGAAGAGGGAAGCAGCCGAATGGAAAGAGCCTCAGGCATTGGCAGGCTCTCTTCCTCCCTTCAGTGTGTGTGTGTGTGTGTGTGTGTGTGTGTGTGTGTGTGTGTGTGTAGGGGGTGGAGTGTTTCACTGGACCCCTCCTCTCTTTGCTAACCCTCTCCTCCAGCTCTGAAGGCAATGGCTTAGTTCTGGGGTCTTGAGTCATCCTTCTTCACCGGAGCCCCAGGACCCTCTTAGAACATGGGAAGGCACTTATCCGTGGTATGAGAACAGGAGTGGAGCTGGAGGAAAAAGAAGGCCTGGCCTCAGGGTTGGCCACTTGGTAGAAAGTTGGGAAGATAAGTTCTGACTTTGTTCAGCCAGGTTGCTAGAGAGGGGGAGGGGGAGAGAGAGAGCATAGTGGGTGAGAGGCAGTGTGGTGTCAGTTCTGATGTGTAGGGAGCAGGCTTCTCTGCCCGCCCCTCTCTTGCAGCCTCATATGTCAGTGAAATAGAATGAGCTTTAAGAAACAGAAGCTGCAGTTTGGAAACAGGGGAGAGATGCAGCTTTAACCTGAACTGATAGAAGATCAGAAAAAGATGCTTGCTGTGTACCTCTTCATCTTTGTGGGTGGGTGTGGCTAGGGAATGCCACTGCACCCCAGCCTTCTTGACTCTGTCAGAGGTGACAGCAAGAACTGCAAAAGGGTGCAGATGTATTTTGGGGTCATGGAGAGAAAAGCAAAGGGAGAGGGGAGCCAGGAGGGAGAGGAAATCACTAGTGAGTTTTCAGGGGATACTCAGCAAAGGGCTGGGGAGGAGACCTTTAGGGAGAAATGGGGGACCTGGGGACACTGACAAGCTAAGACAAGCCAGGGAGAGAGCACACAGTGTGGTTAGCAGTGGGTTGAAGGCAGAGGGAAGACAGTGAAAAGTGGTCAGAGGAGCAAGAAAATTGAGAGCAGAGAAGAGCTAGGAGGGGGAAATTCAGCCTAGCTGAGAAATAAAAATCGTGTTTTAAAGGATTTCAATGGGCTTCATCTATTTTCATCTTTTACTAAATAATTTTCTGTATCTTATCTAAATGAAAACCATTATCTTCCCCTCCCCCGCTACTGTGTCCATCATGCCCCAGCTCCCCAGACTGATTACGCTGAAAATTGAAATATTTATTCATTTTCTAAGAGATTTTTCTCCCTCCCTAGTCTCAGGGAGGAGAAATTGAAAAGGAAGGATTGTAGTTAATCAGAGCAATGTGGGATGACAGGATGGTTCCAGTGGGAGCTGCCTCCAGAGGCTGGTGGCTCTGGCTGCAGGAGGGAAATCTGTTCTTCTGGTACTGCCCCCCACACACACCAAGCTGCTCCTGTCTGTTCCGCCTTTGCTCCAAGGAGACTAAGGGGTAAAACAAAGAGGCCCAAGGGCCTCCTATGTTTCCAGCATTTAGCTCCCTGTGCACAGTTATATCCTGGCAGAGAATGTGAGCCTGGATTCTACAGCTCTGTTCTACACACACATGCATGCCACACACTCCAAATGTCCTACTTCTGCCCAGAGCTGGGGTAGAGGTAGGGAAGCTAGCAGAAACCAAGCTGTTAGGGCTGCCCCTGACTTTGACTGGACTCTATCTTCAGCCTTCTACTCAAACTCAGAGGGAGACATGAAGCCACAGGGATGCCTCTGCAACACCCAGGCAGGGCAGGAAGGGGTGGGGGTGGCATCCAGTTCTTCCACTCTTTGCTCCTTATTGCCACTGGGTGGCTGACTGGCCTCATTTTGCCTTTCCAGTGGGGTAGGACGATGGAGCCCCTTACTTACCCATGCTTGCAGAGAACTGCACTCTGAGGAAGCCTCCTTTGAGATCCCTTGAGACCAGGTCTTCACTTCTCAACTACAACACGGCCTGATGTTGTGCATATAGTCAATGCCCCTTAATACCTGACTGATGAGTGAGCCGCAATGCAGGAGGGAGGTCATGTTAGATGGTGATGACGTCACAGTCTCAGCCTGGTATGCCTGGAATCCTAGTATTCAAGAGGCTGAGGCAGGAGGACAGTGAGTTCAAGGCCAGCTTGGATTACACATACCAAGTTTCAGGCCAGTCAATTGTAAGCCTCTGATAAACAAATAAATAGAATAAGTCAGAGACCTCCATTCAGCTCTCCCGTGTTGGTAGTCTGAAGAGGTTACGTGCTCATTAGGCGCTCCAGTTTAGTTGTATGCAAAGTGGTGATGACATATATATATATCATATATTAATCTAGGGAAAGTGCATGGAATGGTGTCTGGCACAGAAGTGTTCAGTGACTGTGTTATGATGTTGTGTCTGAATGTAAGTGGACAGATGTTGAGTTGACTGCCTCTTCTATTTTCCTGATTATGGTTCTCTTTGTTTTCTGGTTCAAATCCCTCTGGTTCTTGGTCCTTGGCTTTAGTAAGCCAGTGCTTTGCCCGTCTCATAGAAAGAACCTGGCTCAGGTAGACCTAAAAGACATCCCCCCCCTCCCCCCCGTGGATGCTCCCAGAAAAGGTCTGCAGAAGGAATATGAGGGGAGCGTGAAGTGGAAAAGTCTGAGCTTTTGGGTGAAATGAGAAGTGGTGGTGCTTCAGTGTGAGAAATAACACAGCTCATTTAGTGAGTTCTCCTGTTAATGACTTTAAATGCATGTTAACTTAAGCCCAGTCCCCTGAGTTAGGCTGGGTAATTAATTCCTTTTTCCTAAATGGGAAACTAAGGTTCAGATATGTGAGGTAGGCCGTTATAGGAACCAGCTGATTCTAAAACCCACACTATTCTCCTCTGCCACGGGCCCTTCAGCTAGCAGGGACTGGGACTGGCCTGGGGCAGGGTTTTGTTGTTGTTCTGATCCATGGTAGAGTAAGTGTGGAGGAGATTGTTCCATCAAGGTAGTAGCCTTTAAACTTTTAAAAACAGCTTTTATTTTGAGATTCTGCCCTATATTTTTGTGTTACTATTTCTTTATGATATGGCAATCTCCTGGTTATTTGTTAAAAGGGCTTTACTTGCCAAATATGATTTATACTCTTGTATTTGTTCCTTATATGAAACCTAGTCTTTTTAATCCATGGCATTTATAGCTGAGGACACCCCCTTCCCCACCCCTACCCCAGCTGACTCTGTAGAGTCCTAGAGTCATGCAAGGGCTGACACACTCAGTGGACATCTGGGGACAACCTGTGCTCTCTCACCTTTAGCCTCCAAATCAGGCACAGTAGGGCTAGAAGCACATTAGGACTGTAGGCACATTAGGACTGTAGTCATAGTAAGGCTGTAGGCTGTAGTCACAGTAGGCCTGGAGGAACATCAGGGCTGTAGGCACATTAGGGCTGCAGGCACAGTAGGGCTGTAGACACAGTAGGGTTGTAGGCACAGTAGGGCTATAGACTCATCAGGGCTGTAGACACAGTAGGGTTGTAGGCACAGTAGGGCTGTAGGCACAGTAGAAGGTGAAAACTTAGGTGTCTCATTGAGCTCACCTGGAGGTGCTCAGCTTTGCTTTTCAGCTGATTTCCTCAGGACCTGCCTGGCCTAAGGTACTGAAAGGGATCATGGGAGGTCAGCAACACACCAAGGTGTCAGCATTACCTTTCACTGAGTTCCTGCTGCGTGCTTTTCAAAATTGATGTTCCTGCCATTTCATAGATAAGAAAACCAAAATTGAGAGGTTAAACAACTCACTGAGGGCCATCTCTGGAGTGTTAACACCCTGATCCAAGTCCTTTTATGTCACTACAAAGCTTATCTGTGTTGGCAACCTCTATTAGACAGGAGGAGAACCTAGGTCTTCTGTCTTCTTCCATAGACAGTCCTCTGAGATAGGCTGCGTAATTATCCATTGTTCCTC